GGAGATGTTAACAATCATTCTGGCAATAGTTTAGATACTCTCCAGAAATGTACTATGTATGCATCTTTGTGTGTGTGTATGTGTTTATAAATGCATGTACTATCTATATGCACATACATACATACACACATGCATACATACCTACATTTTTGTATCTGGTCTCGATAACAGAAGAGTACCATAGTTTAAATTAACAAATTGTTCTTTATTGGTTAGATAATAATGAGACACAAATTATAGATATGACACTAAAGAAATTAAATTTCTTTTCATAATTTTTCCCATTACCTCGCCATTGTTTATCCATTTTCGGAGTTGCATATTGTGGCCTTTTATTGATGTCTAAATCCTGTATTCCTCCTTATGCAGGGCCCACCAGCGGCCGAGCGGTAAAGTCGCTGAACACTGGTAGTTCGGTCCGAGGTTCGAATCCCGCGAACGGGCTGGCTGCATGGTATTTTCGTGGTTTTCCCCATGTGTAATGTGTATACGAGCCAGTTTCCCTTAGAAAGTCCTCCACGAAAGGCATCCCTCCTCTTAGGCAGATAGCCCTAGTGTGCTTTGCCATAATTAAATACACCACCTCCTTATGCAATCACAAATAGTAATAATTATTCCAAAATGTGAGGAAAGAATGTAACTTACATCCTTCTTTATAAAAAATAAACCGGCTTGTTGAGAATTAATCGAATTTATGTTAAAGGAAAATAAATTTCGTGTGATTGCATTCTGACATCATGCTCGTCCATTTTTTTTATTGATTATGGCTGCACATGTAATGGTATCTGCCAAGGGGAGGGATGGCTTGTGGAGAACTTTCTAAGAAAATCAGGCTCATATCCACATTACATATAGGAAAATCATGAAACGGTCTCTTGCAGTGAAACCATAAACAGTGTCATGCAGCTAACCCATTCACCTGAATTCAAATCCCAGACTGAACTACCAATGTTCAGAGACTTTACCACATGGCTGCTGATGGGCCTGTTATCCATTATTGGTGTTTAAATACACTGTTTTGTGAAAATTTATCTGTATTAACAGTATTACAAACTTTATAATGGCATTACAAATCTCTGTTTTACTAAATTTTTTTCTAAAATATTCCGTTTATTTGAGCTTTCTAGTTAGTTAAATGCTGGAGAGTCAGGCTTTTACTGTGTTTGACTTGAGGAACCAACTTTTTATATTAACTAGTACTAGGAACAGCTAGTAACTCAGTACTTGAATAAACTACTTTTTCTGTACAGTTTAATTTTGTGTAAATGCTACATTGTGTATATATATATATATTGTGTGTATATATATATATTGTCAAATAAGGGTTTTTGTGTTTAATGCAGAATTATTTCTGTAAGGTTATTTTCTTAAAATTTGCTGATTATTTGGGGTATCAAACAGTTTGTTTTTAAAATATTTTCAATTAATTATTTATTAAAGGTCGTAAATTTTAGTCCTATTATTTTTTGTGTAATTTAAATATGAACATCTAGCTATATCGTATAAAATTATGTTAACCCGTAAGTGCAGGCTCTGGGTTCAGGGGACCTGCATGATTATACAAACCTTTCTCAAACTACACCTATGTCGTTCAAGTTGTTGAGATGTAGTGTAGTTGTGCCCGAGGTCACCCTCTTTCCCAAGTAGCACAGCAACTTCGTTACGACGTCACCACATAAATTTACAAAACAAGAGTAAAAAATATCCCCCATAGTGACATTCAACCATTGGCATTTCCAACATTCGACCATACGTATTTCCAACATTCGACCATACGTCGCGGCGTGCAATGAATTGGAAGTTGATCTGTCAACACTATCCTTATCTTCAGGGCAGATGTTTTTATTTTATTCGGCTTATAATTCCTTACTAAATGTAGTATTTCATCTCGATGTACTCCATCATTGATATGATTTAAATCAAATTCCTCGTCATTATAAATATCACAAATATACATCAAATAGTTTTCTGGTTGCAATTTTCTAATATCGACTATGCGTAATGTATGCTTTATGCATGCATGCGTTGAAAGAAATGTTTAATAAAGTAAACAAATAAATATTAAGCTTTTTTTTTTTTTTTTTTTGTAAATTTTGATATCCTTTAGATCATAATTGCTCTTTATTTCATAAATTACGGTTTCATATTTTTAATAATTTCTGCATGCCATCTTACCAGATTTAAATTGATGATCTATAATCTGGAATCGCCGAAGTCCCACGAGTCCGGATTAAAGACTTTTGACTGTATTACATGAATACATATTTTACGTTTCAACTACATATCTATTCCAAAAGGCAATCAGTAAACCTACTTTCAAACAGCTTTTTGTTTTTGTTGTGGTAGGAATTGCTTTATGAAAGAATTCGAAGCATTATTCCTTTAGCAATTTTGCAACAAAATTATGTATTTCTGCAGACATTTTACCTCTCTTTCTTTCATTATAGGAATATCCTAAAAGCACAAATTTTAAAATCGAGTTTAAGACAAAAAATAATCATAACTTGGTTAATCTTCGGATTATGGTAACTTGGCGATTTTTTGGCAAGAATTTGGTGACCAACCCTGCTACAGCAACCTGCTAGTTTTTTTTTTTTTTTTTTACCTATTTTCTTCCAACAATCTGCTAGCCGAAATACACTTATGCTAGAACTTTTATGGAACAAAAGTGCTTAATCATGACGAAGATTAGGTGCGAAATTGGGAGAAAGTGCAGAATCGCCCACTGCTTGCTGCGTTTTAAGAATTGCACATACACGGTATCCATGTACATGTCGACCTATTTTCACTTAAAAAAAAATCCCAGAATTGCACGAAAATGGCATTGTGCACACTCTTGACTTTATCCATGTACACTGCTAAAGTCCTAGCCCAGTAACCTTTATCGCCTTACCAAAATGTCACCAAACTATCTGTTACCATATTCCAAAGATTAGCCCATAATTTTTGTATAAAAGCCATTGGAATTTGGAATGCAGCAAGAAAAACACATCTGAAAATGATGATATTGGAAACTGAATGTTTGTCATGCACATAGTTGCTTGAATAATTGTTATGGTTGGAGTTACCAGCATTTGGTGTATTCTGAAACTTTGGCAATTTCTACTAAGGTGGTTGCAATAATACGTAAGCACCCTAAATTTTTATTTGAAAATGAATGTAAATCTTATTTCAGTTGGTAGGCATGTCTTTCACTTGATGATCTATACAAATAGAATCCCTTTTTTGGTGTATATGTAATTTTTTCAAAAAATTTAATTGAAGAAGATTATTCCTCTATCACATATTAGCTTGCAAATAAGAGGAATATTGCAAAATTCAACACAGCCACTAAAAAAGAAATTTTGGGCTGGTGGTTAAAAGTATTTGGCCACATCTGCATTAATGAATATCCGTAGAAAGTTGGTGAGGTCTGGTCACATTCAGATATGTTTATTCAAATGTGTTCATTCAAAAATGTCTATTCATCTCAACTGTAAGTAAAGCTATTCTTTCTGTGTGCTCTGGTGATATACTATGATGATCAACATATGGGTTTGGTAATCTGAAATCTTGGACTTGATTCTTGAAGTCACAATGATTTTGTCAAGAAATCCCTCTCCAAAATCTCAAGTTTTTAATTTTAATAATAAATATAATAAAAATTTTAATAATAAATATAGTATAATAAAAATCGTTACTATTCGGTTTCGAGAGCCGTAAAAAAATTGCAGCAAAAATGTACGCGCAAAAGCGCCGAATCTAGCAAATGTGCCCATTTAACACCGCGCCAAATCTATTTCCAATTACGTAAATTCATATAGTTCTATATTTCTTAAGACGCCATTGAAATACTAGTTTAATTTTTAAATCCTTTTGTGATTTTAAATCTTTTTTTATATCCTATGGATTTAACAATTTGGGAATTGCCCATGACGAAAAGTCGGCGAGAGAATTTTGGATAAAGTGTAGAATCACTACTGCTTGACGCGTTTTTAAGAATTGCACATACTCGGTATCCATGTGCACATCAACCTATTTTCACTTAAAAAAAAATCCTAGAATTGCACAAAAATGGCACTGCACACACCCTTGACTTTATCTATGTACACATCGACCTATTTTTCACTTAAAAAGTAAAAGAAAATTGACAAAAATCCAATTGTTTTTACCCTCGTAAAAAGCGAGTCAAACAAATAAGTGAGCAATTCTGCACTTTACCGAGAATATTTTCAAAGAAAAGGCATCATTCGTTATAGAAAATTACGTTTGAACAACCAACGAGATGAAATTATGCTTAAACAATAAATCGGCAGCGAAATAGCGATGCAGGCATCCATTCAGTTATGTTTAGCAATTTTTATATAAATTATAATAATGATCTGAAATAGTTATTTACTCTTATGCTTCTAGTCAGTCATGTTTAACCTTTTTCCTATAAATTATAATAATAAAAAAGTATTATATGAAATTAATTTTTCATCTAAATTAACACATCAATCTTAAATAGTTATTTACTATTATACTTCCTTTCCTGCTGCAATTTTTTAGGGTTGCCGCAATTATTTTTGGCAGCATTGGCATCAACAGTAGTTTGGCGATTTTGTACGGCCCTCAAAACCGAATAGTACCTAAAAATTTTAATAATAAATATATTAGATACTAGATAAATTAATACTTGAGAATTTGCTGAAGATATGATTGCTATAGATGTGATTAGATACATTTTCACTTGTGAAAAATTGTGTTTTCGCATGTGTGAAATTTTGAATGTAAAATATTCTTTTTGCATTTAAGGTTTCTCTGTGTATCCTTTTAAAGATAAATGTATTCATTCATACAGCAGTAAAAAATAATATGTTTTAAATAATAATGAATAATAATAGACTAATAATGTGTAAAAATGTCTTTAGAATAATAATGTCTTTTAAAAGAACATTGCATAAAAAATATTAACTTCTTTTCATTAATGTAACATGTTGTGCATTTAGTTTTGAAAGATACAACCTCATATTTTCCAGATCATTACGATTTGACTAGTGATGGAGCAGTTTCAAGTTGCTACAAGTGGAGGAGCTGTAGCATCTCAAGCAGGAACACAGGTAGCAGTCGCTGGTGGTAATGCAACCAATGAACAAGTAGCTGTTATGCAAGGTTTGCAATCTGCTGTTCAGGTATCTGGTGCTCAAGTAGCTCAGTTGTCCCCTCAACCACAAGTAAGCCTAGTTTTATTTGTTCATTTGCTTTTATAATAGCTATTTAATAGTGTGAAATGTATATTGTTTGATTGTGAAAAAAAAATATAACAGAAATAATGGATATTATTATTGATTTAAAGTATCAAAGAAATTTCTTTGTAAGCTTTATTCCATCCGAAAAATGTCGGAACAAACTTTAGTTCATTTGACAAGTGCTGGAACTTATCTAATGAATTTTGTGCCATTCAGTTTTAAGATTTTTTAATGCTATTAACCAGTTAACTGTGGCGCTCTCAGTTAAGAGTTCACACCGTTTTGTCTCACCAGAATCGAACCATGACGAGTATATTCGTCAATCACAGAGTAAGTTGCGCTGGTAAGATATTGGATGAAAAAGATGGGTTTATTTTATAAAGTTGAAAATTTTGTTACTAATATTTACTTATTTGGTTAACATAAGCATATATTACATACGTATTAAACTAAAAATGCAATAAATTAAATATTATACATATTGTTGCATTTTTTATACTTCTGACACCAGTTATTGCGTTATTTTCTTCCTTCAAGTTCGTATGGATTTGGACTGAATAACGATGACACTACTTTATGAAGTATCGAAACAAACTTTATTGGCCATTATTGTCAGGACAGCTCCAAAACATGTTTTTACAGTCGATGAACTACTATAAACATGCTGACACGATCAATGACACAGCCTTCAGGTTATCAAGGCTATCATGGTGGAGACGGCTTCACGGAAAAGCACTAGAGTACAGTTCGTGACTCTGCTTTGTCATTCTCGGAACTCCACGTACTCTCAAGACTCTCCATGCTACAACGTGCGATGCACTCGACGACACACAGAGCACAGATCCTGACTCTTCGGTTCAGTCGTTCCTGGAGCTCAACACGCTCTCTCGATGATGCACTAACCGTGATACACTGCGAGACTCTTTTGGTGCACTTGACGACCCACTTGTCACCCACTGCCCGGTTGTCAACTCGATTGACTCGCTAGATGAGACACCAACTCGATACTAACTATGACTGCGTACCAGTAGGGTTTATGTAGCTTTCGGCTTGTGTTCGAGAACATTCTGGGCTAAACCGGTAAGAATTCGTTCCAGAAGGTTCTCCAACCTTCCGTGGTATATCCCCAATTTTGTTGCTAAATGGGCAGTTCCTCACGAAATGTAGCAACCTTGCCTTCCCTTGCCATTTTATGGCAACCCTAAAACTGCTTTGCGGGAAGCCATCTTACCGTGCCTGTACATTATGTAACACTGCCCCCTCCCAAGGACTGCACGTCCCAGGCAGTACAACCCTTGGTCCGAAGCCAAATTTGATACAATCAAAACGCTTCAAAACATACAGATAACATTACTAAAGAAACAAATATTTACACTATTTACAAGTTAGATACACAAATTAAACACATAACAATTTTAAATTATACAAATTAAAGTTCAGGATGAATTTCAGTCTCGGTGTTTTCATTAAGCTATACCCAGATCAAATACTTTTCCACTGCAGTTCTCAGATGTATTTCTGTTTTGCATATCACAGTGTGAAGATTCAGTACTTTCAGATTTTCCATCCACAGGAAGATCTGAAACAGTTTGTTCAACGCTCTGTAGCTCATTCGCAGCATGCATACAGTTCACATCAGTATTTTTAGCAATTGGTACATGCTTATTTACCTCTATTTCCTGAAAACCAGTTCCAATGTTTGCATTAGAGTCTCGAACGGAACCCGATTCTTCACAAACACAAGTATCTAGGTTTAGAATCAAGTCCTTGTCTGCAAAATCTGCACTATGACATGCACACATAATTTGCGAGGTGGGTGAATTTTCTTGCAATACTGGAGCACACTGCTTAATCTGTACATCAGCTTCTCCCATCTCTGCATCACATGCACTTTCAGATGGTTCAACACTTGCTGACTGCGTTTTCATAACTTCACTATCAGTTTCTACGAACTTGACAGTCACTTTTTCACTTTCTTCTATCTCTACTTCAGGCATGTGAGAATCAAAATCTTCCTTCCCGTCTTTTATTTCTTCATGTTTTCGTTCTATTTCTTTAATCCCGTTAGATATTTCATCGATCATTTCTGGATCTTTCTCAGGCAGTTCGTTAGCTACTTCTTTCATTTCTTCATCCTTGGATTCTCTAGGTGCCACTTCTCTCATTTCCACATCGTCTTTTATGGCTCCAGTTTCTTCTGTAAGCTCTACTTCCACCTGTTGGAGTTGCTCTTGTGCATTTTCTTGGCCAACATTTATTTCTTCTCGTTGTGCTTTCTTCTCTCCCAGTCCGGCTCTCATCTCAGCCGTCATCTCTTTATATACAGATTTTATCTCAGCACATCCGGCTTTTAATTCTTTCAATCCGTCTTTGATCTCAGCCCTCATGGTATCATATCCGGCTTTTATCTCGGTTAAAATGTCCATCAAGGTTTTCGTTTCCTACGCCATTGCTTTCCTCTGCAGGCGGATCACTGGCATTCACTTGCAAACCCCACTCCTGACACCAATTATTGCGTTTTTTATACTTCTGACACCAGTGTTGCGTTAATTTCTTCCTTCACGTTCGTATGGATTTGGAGTGAATAATGACGACACTACTTGATGAAGTATCGAAACACACTTTATTGGCCAGTATTGTCAGGACAGCTCCAAAACACGTTTTTACAGTTGTCGATAAACAACTATAAACACATTGACACGATCAGCGACACAGCCTCCAGGTTATCAGGCTATCACGGTGGAGATGGCTCCATGGCAAAGCAGTAGAGTACAGCTTGCGACTCTCCTTGGTCGTTCTCAAAACTCCACGTACTCTCGAGACTCTCCACGCTACAACTCATGATGCACTCGCCGACACACAGAGCTCAGCTCCTCTTTGGTTCAGTCATTCCCGGAGCTCAACACGCTCTCTTGACGATGCACTAACCGCGATACACTACGAGACTCTTTCGGTCCACTCGGCAACCACTGCCCGGCTGTCAACTCAATTGACTCCGCAGGGATTGACTCGCTAGACGAGACACCAACTCGATACTATCTCGCACTCTAGACGAGGCACATACACTCGCCCTCACGATGAAGCACACTCTGACTGCGTACCAGCAGGGTTTATATAGCTTTCGGCTTGTGTTCAAGAACATTCTGGGCTAAACCAGTAAGAATTCGTTCCAGAAGGTTCTCCAACCGTCCATGGTATATCGCAAATTTTGTCAGCAAATGGGCAGTTCCTTGTCAAATGTGGCAACCCTGCCTTCCCTTGCCATTTTATGGCAACCCTAAAACTGCTTTGCGGGGAAGCCATCTTACCCTGCCTGTAACTTCAGTAATAATATAAAAGTAAGAATTAAAATTCCTACTGCTGTGGAGTGATATTCAGTGAAACGGGGTACTATACACTATGGGACTTTGCAAATTGAACACCAGTAATGCGATTCCTTCCTGATCTTACGTTTGTAGCAATGCGTAGGGTTACCTTCGCGTCGGTTGTTTTTTTTTCCAATGTTGAGGGTATGTAAACCGGAACATGATTCCCACCTAATTGTCGATTTATTTCTTTCAATGGGATACATCACAAAAGTGTCTTCAATAAATTTGAGCAAAAAGTTGATACGTGATAATGTTCCATTATTTTTTGTATATAATAATGCATTCAGACACGCAGTATCTAAGAGATGGAGGAATATCTTTTTGTAGTACTTTTTGAGTCGTTTTCTTGTTGTGGTGTATGCTATGATAATTCCATTGCTCATATACATTCCACCCATTTTTTTTTATTATAATCCATTACTAGCTCCGGTTTCTTTGTTATTATTTTTCTTTTCTCTGTTTCTATTACGTTGCTTTATATGCGCATTGCTTACACTGCTTTATATGCATGAAGAGTATACTCGTCAATACACAAAATCGTGCCGCTTCACCATGATGAGTATACTTAAGTCACAGTTAATTGGTTAAAAATAGTTGTTCATGTCATTTAATTATGTTAGCGAACTGCTAATATGAATTGTTTATTAATAAACATACATAAGAGAATATCCAGTCTCTGTTATTTCAGTATTAAAAAGATAGAATAAAGAATGAAATCACTAGTTTATAATTTACATAAACTTGGAATAGTGCTGCTTTATAATCATTTGGATGTATTTTCCCAAGAGGTGGTGAAGATAATATAAAAGCGTATAATTAAAACATTTAATAACTTAACTACTTTTATAGTCTTAACTTCTGCCTAAGAATACTTCAACTTTAGTGTACAGAGTACACTTTAAAGAGTTCACAAGCTTAGAGTATTTTCCTTGATGGTGTCATTCTTAGGCAGATAGTCCTTGTAGCTGTACCATTATTCATAGTTCCATTCTTCAAAGAATTCACTCTGTTGTTATCCATTTATCAAACTAAATTGTAACAAATGTTTAACCCTCCGACTGCTCAATTTGTACACCGAAATTGCATGAAAAATTGTGGATTTTTTTTCATATTTTAAATCTATATATATATTGGAGAATTGAAATATGCATTTTTTCTAGAAACTATTTTTTATGTAGATTTTTATCATGCGAAACTAAGCTGTCAGAAAAACAAATTTCAGATATTATCACACAAAATTTTTTTTAACAAATTTCAATTGAATTACAGTTAATTTCTATTTATTACATAATATAAAAAAGTAAAATGTGTAAAATTTAAGAAAATATAATGCATCAAGGGAAAAATATCTTTAAAATGTAGTTTTTAATGATGGAGTTCGAAACAGGGTTTAAGGCTTTGTTATCCAAGAAGCAGTCCGAAAAATCCATATCACTATCACTATCAAAACTAAAATCACTTTCAGAATCTGATAAATCATCAGGAATATATACTTTGTCAACCACTGAATGTTTTCTAGCAGCCATTTCTGGTTAGGAAAAGGCAGCAAACACAGTGAAGTTAGAGCGGGAACTACCTGTACCCTTCAAATGCCGCAGTTTAGTGGACGACTAGCGACATTTGTTAGACAAAACCTAAATAATACCATCTAATACTGTATATAATTTATTTCACTGGTTAAACGGTGAAAAGGCAGGATGCGCTCCTCAGTAAAGGAAGAAAAACACATGCATGCAAAAATCGTGGATGAGCAAATTTTGCTACATTTGAGTTGCCCGTGGAAGTCAGAGAATGAGCAGCCAGAGGGTTGGATACAGTACTTATATTCTGTAAAATAAAGGAAACATTTTGTATTGGTGCAGCAAAGGTGTATTTTAAGCTTGAAGTTTAAACCTGTAAACCATCACTTTTTATTATAAATTTTTTTCAACAGTCATCATGTTATTCATAAATTTCTGAATTGATTGATATAATTAACAGCCTTTTGTTTTCCTTCTTTAAATTAAATTTTTTCTGTGACACAAAATTTATTTTAAACACTCGTGCTTTCCCTTTACTTACCTTGCCTGTGGCTTCCTTCATCTGTGTAAACATAGCAGGAAAGCTATAGAACATACATTTCTATTATGAAACCACATGCATGGTAATAAATAATTTATGTAACTATTTTGTAAGAAGGTAAATTTATTCGCATAAGATTACAAGGTGTTGGAACAAACTTACCTTACCTTACTTTACTTACCTTAACTGTGGCTTCCTTCATCTGTGTAAACTTAACAGGAAAGCTATAGTCCGTACATTTACATTACGAAACTGCATGCATGGTAATAAATAATTTATGTTTCTATTTTGTAAGAAGGTAAATTTATTCACATAAATTCACACTGCAAAAATGTGGGTAGGCAGTGGCAGAAAAACACACAGACTGCTAAAGATTAAACAGCTTCTTAACTTGAACTGTAAAATTAGCAATGCATGGCTTGTGCTTACAAATTCATCTCTGCAGGTTATGGGATTTTAGATAGAGAGTAAATTAAAATTCCAAGTAAAATTGATGCTGGAGATTCACATTGCAAAAGCATAGGCTCAGTTTTAGCCAAATGTGCGAGTGATTCGGCTGATAAAAAGGCTAATCCTGGATATAAGTCTTGGAGCCGGAAGGGGAAATGTCACTGTGGTCAGCCTTGCTGCCAAACTTTAAAAAAATGTTTTTCTTGGTGAGAGCTAACAAAGGTAGAAGTTCAGTTCAAATAAAAAGATAATGTATTATTAACACATTTGATATGTATTAACATAAACACTGCACAGTGCTAGTGCTTATTTTACAAAAATATGTGACAAAGAAGAAATTGAAAGAGGCTGCACATTATCCTTTTCTGGAATTATGTTTTAAAAATCCCTTGCAACTTTTTTTTCTCCAGAAAAAGAATCATAGAATAGGCCTTTCTTGAAAGTAAAGTATTTCTTTTTGTCTTAACATTAGCACCTGAAAATTTAGTATGAGTGGTTGACTGAATGTTTACAGTTATTTGGAAAATCAAGTCATGGGAACAGTTACCAGTACTCTTAAACAATTTTCAATATAAATGGGTATTTATTTTATTTAATAAGCAGTTGCGTTAGCAATTTGTTGAAAATAAGCATCTTATAGAAACATGTCTGAAATTACTATAAAGTATACATGCAATAGATACAACATATAGATGTAGAAACATAGAACAACATATAGAAACATAGAACATATAAAGCAATATTTAGAATATATGTAAAACATTAAAGTATTCCTAAAATCCTGTTTCCTAGGGGCTACGAGATAGTTTCTTTTCTAGTATACTGTTGTGTAAGATGGCCATTTTCATAAATTCTTCTAGTTGGTAAAAAGTCTTTCTGTTAAGGAAAAAACTATTATCTTTTTCTTTTTCCATCGATGGAAAATTGAAATTTAATTGATTAAAAAAAAATATTCTTTTTCATTGTATACTTTATTCTTTTCATAGTATACTGAAGCATACTATATGTAGCAATGAAAAACTGAAAATTTGTACTAGTTGAAAAAATATAAATTATTTCTAAGTTGGCACACATATGCGAACAAAACTGATAATTGTCTGCGTCTTGCCAAGGCCACTATAACCAAAAAGTACCATCAATGTTTTCTCTAATGTTTCTTGGTATCCATTCCTGGAATGTGCATAAATTTACTGCTATGAAGAAGGTGCTCACTGTTTGAAGATCTGTAGCAGAATGTTTAAATACTTCATAAAATCTCTTTTCTTATAACTAAACCTTTTTTTTAATAATCTTTTCAAAAGATTTATCTTTGTTAGCTCTTTGTCCATTGTAACATGCTTAGTGTACCTATGGAGTTTTAAGGTTGAAATTTTTCTGTCAATGACAGCATAATTTCCGAATGATAACTACTCGTATTAGCAATGAATAACTATACATCACACTTCGCATTCTTTAAAATGTCATCTGCTTTCAAAAAAAGTGTAACTATGACTTTTTGTGTGAATTTATGCTTCTGTTTATTTATAATATCTGATAGATAAGGTAATGGATTCAGAGCCTGAAGAGTAAGAAGCAATATAGTATTCTCTTTGCATAGAGCAGTTATTGTCAAAGCCACTTTAACCGTTTCCCTTACAAATTTTTTTGAAAAAAATTGCAAAAAATCATTACATTTTTTTTATTTTATTATTAAATACAACAAAACGAAACAAACCAAAATATGTAGGTTTTAAGTTGAATTTTTAATTTTTTGAAGGTGTAAGAGCATTTATTTTTAATATTAGTTTACTATCTCGAGTTATCTCGGACAAACGAAAAAAATTTAAATATTAATCTTTGTGTGATAGTTTTTGAAACAAGGGACAACACAGACCTATACATACCACAATACCAATATACAGGGACAACAATACCTGACATTCTACACTGGTATCTGGTCTCTTTTCTTACTGGCTTACCACACTGTTTCTTTGGATTTGATTTTTTTTTTTTTTTAATTTTTTTCCCAACCTTTTCATAATCACTATCTGAAAAGTCATCGCTTTCACTATCTTCCATCATTGCCAATATTTTATTTTTTTCCAACGCATGCATCCTTCTTTATACATTACTAATCCATAAGCCAACGTATACTATACAATGGGGAAACACGCGACCAGTCCCCCCAAAAGAACCGCGCAACCCAACAAAATTTGGCTAACTGCCAATCAAAGCTAAATATTTCCTTTCGTTTCCTCCAAACCGAGTAAAACCGTGATAAAAGAAATCGTACTAACAAATTCTGCTTTGCCCGAGTTTTCTCGAGATAATAATTAACTGCAATATATACGAACCCGAGATAACTCGGGATAATCAGGCAAGCGTTTAACCAACAAGTACAAAACATAAGATTTTTATAGCAAAGATAGTCTTCTTGTTTACCAAATTTTTACCTCTGGGTTTTTTTCTGGAATTTGAACTATTCCCTTAAAAGAAAGTTTTGCATTAAAAGCTAACTTTTTGAGAACATTTTAGGTTTGGTAAAAATGTAATTAGAGAATTAATGAGCATTCCAACAACTGACTCCTGCAAATGCATGTAGAAGATTTAAGAATATGCCAATATGTGTATAATAATAATAAAAAAAAGTCTTGGAAATATGTAAACAATAATGTTTACATGTTTTCTTTGAATTAAAATTTTTTTAGTTTAGTTTTTTTAGTTAGTTGTTCACTCCTGAAAGTTGGTAAAAAAAGGTGCATTGGAAAAATGTAAATTAAAATGCTATTAAAAATTAAATTGGAAACATTTAAACAGTGATAAAGTTTTTTTTTTTTTTCTTTGAATTAAATTTTTTTAGGCATTCATTCCTAAAAGTTAGTAGCTGTATTATGTATTTCTATTGTGCTTTAGTTTGAAAAAAAATTGCTAATCTAGTGTACTGATGCATATTTAATCTTAAAATTATTGAATAATATCACAGCTCTAAATTTTTTTGATGAATTTGTTCATCTAAAATGGAAGGTGCAGAAATTTCATAGATTTCTTATACCTGTCCATTAAAAATATGTAACAAAAATTTCTTATTTGCGATTGGTTTCTTTAAAATGATGTATTATTATTTATTTATTGTTTACATCTTTTTGCATACTAGGTTCTTCAAGTAGCTCAAGGGGGCCAACCAATAATGGTACAAGGTCTTCCGCAAGGTCATGCAATACAGATACAAAGTCAGCCTGGGCAGCAAGTTCAGCAGGTATATCATAAAATAATTTCTTTACAGCATGTAAACTAATATTAGTAAGTAATGAAATTCAGTTCTTGTTTGAAATTGATTATCAGTTCCAAGACTGAATTTCACAAATTACTAATGTTGAAACTGTGTGCAGTTATTATTATATGTGTCATTTAATGTGAAATCTAAATTATGTAGTAAGTGCATTGTCGGTTTGTTGTATATTTACTTTAAATCCATAACACAATTAAATTTGAATGTAATGCTTAATATATTTTAACTTTACTTATTTGAGACTAGTCTTCTTTATTGGCATTTTTTTTTCTTTAAAAAAAAAAAAAGCCTGCTGTTCATTTTACGAATGCAAAATTGTTTTGTGATGCTTTGGAACAAGAAATGTAATAAACCAATAGATATGGCACTTGTTAAAATAAATAAAACTATGGTGACATAATCAGAAACTAGATTTTAGTTTTAGGAAACTGCATTCATGTTTAACTTGAAATTTTGAAATCTAGCTATTTCTGATTCTACTATGTACATTTCTAAAAATCTCAATAATTATAGATCCTTTTTTGAACAGCTAAGTACCTGAAGAAAACACCATTTTATCAATCTTTTGGTAGCTACTGAATATCCATTTAAAGAAACAGCTAATTTAATGTTTCATCTGTAATGATGCTGCACAGATTTCTTGCATGGAATTATTCGGTACTTTTCCGTTTTGCCGGCGCAAATCTCGCCAAGCAGACTTTATCAGCGACAACACACAGTATACACATAAAAAATGTTGACAAATGTTAGTTCTAAGAATTTTTTTATTTTGAATTTGTAAACATTTAAATGTTATTTAAAATATTGTAAAAACGCCAATAAATAAAGACAATAAATTTGTAAAAAGACATTAATTTAAGAATTTACTATGCTTTCATGGTACAACATCCTGATTCGCCGGTTCGTATCACGTGACCCCAAGTTGATCTCATCTCATGTAACCTACGCTACAAAAATCTTAATTCTCTCAGTAATTATCTACATTAATTTCAAGTTAAATCTTAATTTGGAATACAACAAGCAAACATTATTTCATTTTGTACGAATAGCTTACTCAGAAATTATGTAAAGCTGCAGTACTTTACTTTGCTAGTGCATTCTCATTAGATTTGATGAATTTAACCCTTGACTTTGCCTTTTCTATATTTTTGGCCTTCGGGTGAGCGGTTGTGATTGCATTTCTGAATTGACTTTAATTACCGTGAATCGGTCTTAGGTCATAAACTTGAACAATCTGGTAAAAATTCTATGTAATTATATGCCAGTATTGAAAGAAACAGTCAATCTGATATGAAATGTCTGCAACTTGTTTTAAAAATGAGGAGTAAAAAGTTACCAGTGAGGATTTTCCGTTTGGCATCGGTTATACGATTATTGGCGGCTCTATAACTGGGTATTGCCTGCACCGGCAAAACAGAAAAGTACCAATTACTCAAATATATTATAGAGTAAATTGACATATCAAGCTGTTTGTCATCAAACCACTCTCTCTCTGAATTACAGGCTAACCTGATGGGAAGAGGGCAACTCGAGCTGCTAAGCCTAACTTTGGGAAAAAATTAGCATAAATAAGCTTGTGGTTGAAATTTTATAATTTCAGGCACATTATGAGAGGAACACTTAGGTTGTTATCAAAATTAATTTTAAAACTTCATCATTTTCCTTAAAAGTTCTATAAAATATTGAATTGTAGAATAATAAAATTTTTGACTTTTCTCAAATATGCATAGAAGAAATATCCAAACAATGGGCAGGTTTTATTTTATTAAAGAAAAATTATTAAAAATCTCTTTCATAGAAAAAGGATATGAAAACAGCAATATTTTAAAAAGTAGATTAGTCTTTTTGATTATTCTTATTAAAATATCAAAAATAAAATAAAAAACACTTAAATTTCTCTTGTGGCATAACATCTAAAAATTTCACTGATTTTGAGAAAGACAGGGTAATTCTGAGATGATTTTGTGTGAAATTGTTTCTTTTGTGGTGTATTTTATCAAGGGAAAAAAAAAAAAAAAAAAAAAACCTTTGATAACATATTTGCTGCTTCTCCAAAATCAGAAGGCTTCAAATAGGAAGTGTCCTAGTCCAAAATGTGTCTCTGAGACATTTGTGTCCAATACGTGTGTGGCACACCTGTCTCACAAAGCTTAAGTTGGTGACTTTTGCTTTATTGCCAGTATTGCTAATTGCAAATGAAAAAATCATTTTTTGCCCAGCTAATGAAAATGCCCAGTATTCAAAAATGTATATAGGATTATAAATGTGCTTTACTGAATTCTGTTTTTACATATAATAAAAATGAGGTTACGTTGTTATTTAAAATATCATTTTGGGAGCTGTGACTAATTACCTTCTTAAATGTATGAGACTGCATAAATATAAAGCTGTGAATTCTCAGTAACTTTTGCTTACTTCTACATATAGTGGACTTTTACTAGTGCCTGATGTGAAGCAGATGATTTCAGTGATACCTAAATATTATGCTTGAAAGTTAATATTAAATCTATTTCATCTTCATAAAATGTAGAATTGAATTTTGATTATAATTAAAGTAATATTGCATTAATCAAGAGTTATAAAAATCTGCATATTTAATCAGCTTTCCTAGTAGTTTATGTATTGATATTTCATGTTTATATTGTTTCACTAACTTAGTTGTGATGTTTTTCTTTTATTATTCAGATTCAAGTTATTCCTATAAGTCAGCTATCAGGCCAGCAAGGTCAACCTCAACAGGTATCAATGAAGTTTATCTTATTACTTAGTTCTGTCAGCTGCACTATTGTATAAAGTTATTGCTTCAGACATCTACAACTGAATTTTTCATATGTTCTAATCTCATCTTTATTTTAGTTTTGAAGGAATCGTACCATGAATGAATATAGGTGTAACAAGCAAAATACAGTATTTACAGAAATATTATTTTACCTAAAATTTTGTGTTCTAAATGTTCTGTTTGATAACCCTTATTCTTCACTATATCCCTGCATCATAATTTCAAAAACAATAGAGCCTTTTTGTAGTGTCGGAAGATGTATTTTATCCCATTTCTCTTGAACAGTTTTCTGAAGTCTAAGAAGGGTTGTAGGTCTACATTTGGATAATTCGCTTTTTAAAAGTCCAAAAGCGCAAAAATCCATGGGTGATACATAAGAATATTTGTTAGGGATATGAGCGAAGAGTGGGAAACAGTGGATTTTGACACATGGCTGCTTGCTTTGTCTTGATGCACTTCTACTGATTAATGGCACTGTGGCTAAATAGTAGGTATTTCGTATGTGAAAACTGGGTATCAGATATATTCCTGATAGTATGTAGAATTGATCCTAACATTTTTCTCCACTGTCTTTATTTTTAATTTGCCGTTATGTGAAAAACTAGTAACAATCATTAATCCCTCTGAAAAACTTTCTTTAGATTCTTTGAACCATGTTTTAAGATTTGTTTTCTCCTCATTGATGATAATAATGGATTTCTTTCTATTGCAGTTGCAGCCCCTAACACTGTAACAGGAATTTTAAAGCTGTGCTTGTTTTTAAATATTTTATGATTTTACTTTTGAATCTTATGTATTGTAATTATGAAGAAAGAGATTCTTAATAGTAAAGCTAAAAAGGCAAAATAAGTTGTTAGTGGGAGGGAGTCCAAGAGTGGATTGGTAATGTGTGATGTTCAATGAGAGCCTACCTCACCCTCTGGTGTGACGTTAAACTGAATCTTGTCAGATTTTCTCTCTCTCTTTTTTATTTTTTAAAGCATATTTAGTGTATATCCAAAGATCTAGAACGAATGAATGACATATCTGAAGTATCATTGTATATTATAGGTTGAAAAGTAGTTCTGTATCGCGACATGACCTTTCGATAATTTCAGTTGCATCTTTGATTTTAAGACTGCTTTTATGGAAGTGTTTATTGATAATTTTGGCTTTGCCTCAATTTGTAGAAGAGTATAAAAGCTATAGAGTATACTTTATTAAAGGATGTGGTAATTCCATTTATGCACATATTATTAGTGTTCACTTTCACTTCTAGAGGGCATTCCCAGTGCACACTTTAATTTGCTGTACATTGGTAACCAGAGTTTTATAATATCTCTTAATATGCATTTCATTAAATGTTGTGCGCTGTTACATCGTAGCACATGTGCCTTATACTACTCATATTTAATCTTATGCAAATGAAGCTCCAGGCTGTTACATTTATATCATTTATAAATATTCCATTTAAAATATATTTCTTCATCTCATCGCTTAAGTTAATAGTAAAGCTAAAAAGGCAAAATAAATTGTTAGTGGATAAATTGTTTATTTACATATCTTGGAATATCGATAGGAAATATATTGTACTAGCCAAATATGCATCTATATATAAAGAGTATATATGTATGTGTGTCATTTTACTAGTAAGACTCACAAAACATGAAAAAGATATAAATATCTCTGCAATAATATGTGCTTCAGCAAAAGTAAATCATGGTTAGTCAAGGGTGTTATAGAGCATTATTTTTTAAACTTTTTTATAAATTAGACTGTTCTGTGGACCACCTTACTGTTATCCCGTTTGAAAGGAGTTTTTTAGTATGTGTTACTACCAATATACTTATATATTTTAAATACAGTAAAATTGGTTTAATTTTATATTAGTAATTAAATTAATAGGAAAATATTTGTTTTTAATAATTCAAGGGTATTAGAATTTTCATAATCTTTACCTTTTGAACTAAAAATTAAATAAATGTTAGTACTGACAATTAACGAGATGGATGAGCATGCCAAATATGTCTGTCGTAGCTGTTTTATGTTTGGATATAAGCTGGTAATAAACACCACAAGCTATAGAGCTTTAAATCCTCCTTTTGTTGCTAAAACTAGAGTGGGAAGTCCATAGGTAGGGTGACTTGTAATAAATTTTATAAAATATCAGTCTTGGATGTAAAAGTGAGAGACGATTGCCATGAGCAATTTGCAAGCTCTTAAAATTTTCGCCTGTAGTTGTGGTATATGTGGTTAATTTAAATTTTATTATTTTATCTTCCTTGAAAATCAGGAGGACGGCAAAAGCAGGTTTCATTGTTTTAAGTAGCCTTAAAATCGGAGAAGCTATAAAAATTACAATTTCATATTGCAATGGAGAACTACCTTTCAGTTTCTCATATGTCTGGACATTCATCATGAAAAGTACAGTAATCCTTCATGAAACAAAAATTGCAGGAACCTTAAAATGAAGGGAATGCGAGAAAGTCATTCATTCAGATTCCAATTGACAAAGCAAATGGGCCCTCGAAAAGCTTTCACTTCAATACAATTTCTATATTGGTTAGCATGTATAACAGTGTATTATTTATCAATTTAACAATAGTTAAATACTATTTAAGCTTCAAGACTAGCTTAAAATTAATGATAAAACATATGTTGTCACTAAAGAACAAACTCACTAAATTAATAGCATTGTTATTTCAATTAATAGCATTATTACTGTGAAATTTTGAAAAAATAACCCTGATTTTTGTTGTTTGACTTCTGAATTATTGTTATTTCAGTTAATGCTGATATTTTAAAATAAATAAAGACAAAAGGACATTAAATAAACAACTTTTAAAATAAGTAGAACATATAATAGAAGATGTAACAACAATTTGCAGTACGTGCGTAAAATTTTATGTTTCAAAGTTGCCACTTATATATTTTTCAACATTCATCTGTCTAATCATGAAATAGAGTGGAAAGTTTATATACTGTAACAATGGGCATAGCCAAAATAAAATCAAATACATATTTAATATGTACTTAATTATAATTTACTTATGTAAATGATGATTAAATGTTAAATATATAATTATATTTTAAACTGAAGTGTTTACTTGGTATTGATGTATCATGCAATTTACCACTTTTAGTTAGTTAGTTATTTCTCAGAAGATGCCACCAAAGGACTGCATTTAAACATGAAAAGAAATACAAATAATGAAGAATACATAAATAAAACTGATTTTATTAATTAATTTAATAGCCTTTAAAATTTTTCATTCCATTAAATTTGACTTGCTTCGAATTTTGCAAAATGAAAGCTAAAATGGCCCTTCAAAAAGGGCCGATTCACGAGTTTTTCAGCCATGTACACTGCAAAAGTCACACAGCATGGTCAAGAAAAACTCGTTACTTACATTAATGGATCTTCACCATGCTTCTTTGAGATAATATGGAAGTATTTGCCATGTAGTATTCTACATGTTGTGTAGAACCTTTAGCTTCTGAATTTGGCAGCATGATTCTCTTGTTTGAGTATTAATATCATTTGCTGGATTGACAAAGTTTTTCTGATGTTCTGTACAGTTCAGTAATTATGAGATATGGTCGCAAAAGTGTTAGATTACATACTACATCAATACCATTTAATATATACATGCAGTTAAGTACTTAATATGATAAGTAATAATCTCAAGTGAATTTAATTCTGCTTTTAGATAATCATTCAACAACCAGGCCAAGGGCAAATACTTCAGACATCTGATGGACAGACTTTAGTATATCAACCTGTTCCTCTAGATGGAACAAATTTTATACATACTCAAGGAGGTATGTTTTCATGTCAGATTTTTTTAACTCTTTTAGATATGATGGATGCACTAATAAAAAATGTTCAGTTCATTATAAATTTAAACAAATTTAAATTTAAATTTTAACAAACAAAGACGTATAAAAGTAATAAAGCAAATTGAAAGCCAAAATAAAGAAAAAAAGCCAAAATAATTTTAAAAAAATTTTTTAAAAATGTGCAAACATATAAAAGAATTAATTATTATGTATGGACAAATGTATGTAGATCTGGACCACCATAATCACAGGACTAAATGGGTTATAGCTGTGGGATACCAGGCTTTTGGTGGTGACAGTTTTCAATGGCTGACATGAAAGTTTATTTCATGTAATTGTGCAGTTATCTGAAGTGAACTATGTTATTTTTTTTTCTCTTTGGATTATCAGGGAAATGTTTCCTTAAGAAATCCTTTACAACAAAATTATGTATCCAGCAGCTGCGCAACCTGGCACTATTTATTTAAAGTAATAACTGTATTCTTATTTCATTATAAACTAAGTTTTGTCTAAATAATTTATATTAGTTTTGTAAATATTAGAGGCAATATACATTGTATAAATAAATAAATAAAATGCAGCTGACCACCCCCAAATCATCCCTCTTATAAAGAAAGAAAATGCAGAATTAATTTTGTATTCATAATGAATTCATTCATAATTTTGTATAGCAGGAGATGTATCTAATGTTGAATTAGTTAAAAGATTCTTCCTTAAAATATCATGACAACAGTATATGACTTATTTCGAATAAAGTAAAAAGAAACAGTAGAAATATGGAAGGATATAAAATGTTCAAAATGCTATTTGGAAAGACCTGAAAACAGAATTGTTAGAGAAAGATGTAATAAATTTTAAAGTAGTTCATCAAGGAATTATATATTTTGTAAAACAAAATTTATTTTTCTGGATGGTAAATTTTCACTTTCCATATTGATGTAAAAATAAAGGGATAATTTAGATAATACTATATGCTGCTATTGTACATTGTAATAGGCAACTGTACAAATTAAACACTTTTTTCAAGCTAATGAATTTCTTTGTTTTTCACTTTTACTTTGAAACTTCTTATAAATAAATGTATTAATTTTGTTTGCAGATTGAACAATTTTTTCAGAACTGATTTCTTTCTGAATTATTTTGAAATAAATGAGTTAATATCGATTTTTAATCACACAAAAATTCAAAACATTGACTGTATTTACATTCTTGAACATCTTTCATGATTATCAATTAAAATCTTCAGTTTGTCTTTTTTCTTTATTGTTAATTATTCCTTTGTCAGTTGTGGATTATTGTATAAAAATATGAGGTTGCGTATTGTTTGAAATAATTAAATCTTTAATTGTATAAGATGATCAACACTGAGATTCTTTTATTCATTTTAGGTATTATACAAATACCATCTGTATCAGTTGCTGCTCCTGCACCTCAGGTTGTGCAGACAACTACCACTACTGCTGCCAGCCCAAGTCCACAAACAATCACAATACCTTCAAATGTTCCCCAGGGAAATATTGTTATGGTAATTTACTTTAAATTGATAGTTTTGCATGTCTACTTTTCTGGCAAGCTAATAATTATTCCTAGTAATGAAAATTTTGATTTGATGTCATTAGTAATTTTGAGATTAATGTATCTACTAATTCATCAGCAGTTGAAAATGTATCTTTATATGTGTGTGTGTGTGATGAAAAAACGTACTAATGTTGATGGCGTAGAACATAGATCTATATTCAAGAGGAATCCTGGCAGCTGAGTAAGATTAAATATTGTTGCGTTATACAGATTCTATGATTTGGGGTAATTGACGATAACACTTGGTGAAGAAGCATACTTAATATTTTGTAATCACAATTTATTCTCAAGTGTTACCAGTTCGAAAGACATGTTTACAGTCATCAGAAAACTACGATGAACATGCTAAAACAATCAGAAATACAACCTTCAGACTATAATGGTGAAGACAGCTTCACGGCAAAGCACTAAAGTACAGCTGACTCGATCGATTGCTCTCAAGCTGATCTCTGAACTCGATACTACTTTATACTGCTACTCTGTGTACAGGTAGGATTAGCTTAAACCTACCTTCAAGAACATTCCTGAGGAAAAGGCTAAGAATGTGTTCTAGAATGCTCTATCTCCATCTATGCATATTGGCAATTTTGTCGCCAAATGGCGATTTTGTGTCAAATCTGTCTGCCCTGCCCTTCCCGGCAACCCTAACTGCACTTTTCAGGAAGCTCTTTCTGCAGCTGGGCATTTCACAAAACGATATTCAACTTTATTTCAGTTGACATTTGCAGCCACAATTTACTTTGCACTCTAATTGTGCCTATTCAAAGAATGTTCTTATTTTTTTTTTTTTTTTTTTTTTTTTTGTTTAACTTGCTATAGGAAGAGATAGGAATAGATGCTATAGGAAGAGAGGTAAGCAAAGTATTTTAACACGAAGTGAGGTAGAAGTTAAAGTGCGATTATCCAGTACTGCAGTCTATTAAGAAAAGGGTTTCAGTTCTCCAAATTTTGAGTTCAGGTTCCAAATTAGCTACATCATCAGTGTTATGCAATTCATGTGACACGCATATATCATAAGAGGAACGTAACACAGGGGGTGTCTAGTACAAAAAACTTATTTTTGCTGTTTGTCTTATGCAGAAACAGAGGAAAAGCTGATACTGTAATATTTTTACAATATCAGTTGCACTGAAGTATTTTGACTAAAAAGACTATAAGATATTGACAAGACTGATTAAATCTGCTTTAGCATACCCAGTGTTGAATGCTTATTTAATTATGTGAGTGATATTATATAAGACTGAAGAACTAGCATGAACAGACACTGCACAGATTGAAATTTATTTATTCTGATAACACAAAACTGTATATAAAGCTTTTGGATCAGAACATCTCTCTGATGACTATTAGTGAATGTTTCAGAAATAATTGATTGCATAACTAGATAGCTTACCAAAATTCTTTACGTTCCATGGATCATTCTCTTCTTTTTAGCAGTTTCTCATCTCAAAAATCTGTTGATATGCAAATTGTGAGTTCTAATTTAATATTTGAAGAGTAAGTCAAAAGCCGTAGTCTGCATCAAAATGTCTTGTCATACTGAATTTTCAATTGTTAGCAAAGAAGAAACATATACGGGGTAGCCCACCAAAAAAAAAAAAAAAGAAAGAAAGAAAGCTTAGTTTTTTTTTCCGTTTAAATTGTTGAGAAACCAAATAGACAGGCAGCTATGTGAATTGATATAATGAAACATAATTAAAGTTTTAATACATTAAAAAAATATGCTCTTTGTTTTGCTAGTTAAATAGCTTGAAAATATATGTGTCTGCATATATGCAAGTGTTTCACAATACTGTTGAGAATTATTTGAAATTATGTCATGTTTTTACTCAACAATATTTTACAGGACTTTTTAAATGGGGTTGCAATCACCCTTGTAATAGCGTTGTTAGTTAACATTTTAATAACTCTGAGAAATCTTTTTAGTAATATATTTATAACAATTTTTGTTTTTGTACATCATTAATTGTGCAATCTGAGTTGTATTCATATAATGAAATTAAATAGATAATTCAATATATGTTTGACCTTGAACTTAGAATAAGCATCTGAAATTTTAATATATTTAGCATGCAGTTTTTTAATGTAGTTAATCCATTATTAAAGTAAAAAAAATGCATTCTTTCTTTCCTTGCAAGAAATTTTAAACTGGTCATACTGAATATTTTGTAAAATAATACTTTTACATGTTATTCTCAAGAACAGTTTATAAGTAAATTTGATAATGAAGTATTAAACAAAATAATCTTAAAAATTATTGAATGTCAAATTTAGTTCTATTCCATTTGATATTTCGAGTTGATCAGCAAACAGTTATGCTTTTTGTTTTTCCTTAAATACAACTTTTGAATTTGTAATTTTATCAACTGCTAAATCTCACCAAATCTCGTGAATTTTAGATAAGGAATATTGTCTGGGCAATAAATTCCGAAACAATTTTTAATATAAGACTAAAATCAATTGATAAAGTTATTTCTTTGTTAAAGTGTGAAGTATATTTTTATAAATTAATAAATTATATGAATTCATTTTAATTAATTATAGCAAGTTGTTCCTGGTGCTGGTGGATTACAGGCAGTTCAAAGGATACCTTTACCTGGTGCTGAATTACTAGAAGAAGAACCATTATATGTAAATGCAAAACAGTATCATCGCATACTCAAGAGGCGTCAGGCTAGGGCGAAGTTGGAGGCTGAAGGACGGATACCTAAAGAGAGGAGGGTGAGTTAAATGTTTTGTGTTTTCGCAATTATTACTGATTTTCTGAGTAGATCAAAAGTGCATGCTAAACGAATTATATAAGTGGGCATAACATTACATAAATATAATGTAACATGTAGTGTAATATATTCATTATAATTTTAAACTGTTAAAATTATCAAAATAATGCATATAATCATTCAGAATAAGCAAACAGAGTATGTCATTATTTTTCAGTTTAATACATTAATGGCAACAATTTTTATTCTGTGTCCTGGAATATAAGTGATGGCTAGTCCAATAGAAATTTCTTGTGATGGGGGAAGAGGGATCTTAATCAATGGAAGGATTTTTACTACCTTGTTGTGTAAATTTGGGAGCACTAAAGTATCTAAAATACCTTTACAGGCTTTCAGTATTTAGACAGTTTTCATAGAAATACAAAGCCTGCCCTAAACCATGAAAAACAATGAACAAAATAATTCCTCTAACAAAGACTGCGACTGGCATAGAACATCTAAACAGATAATGGTTTCCTGTATTTCCTTATTTCAGACTTGCTTATGAGAGTGCTTGAATGAGGAGCATAATTAGTCATCTCGAGAATGCATTTTCATTGCTCCGTACTGTGTTTATCTGGAACTTAGGATCACTGTCTCTTGCCATTTTAGTAACTGGTTGTCTACTTGCACATTATTGTGCCTGTTGAAAATGTATATTTTTGTTTAGCTGGTTATAATGATTATCTGATATGCCTTAAATAACCAGTATGAAAATATGTTGAGTTATTACAATCTCAGCTTGTAATAATAGACAACTTACTAGTGTGCATTATGAGCACACAGGCACATAGGCGATAAATTCAACTGTTATGAGTTTTGTTGTCAGATGGAACACGTATGTGTTTTACTAATATCACTTGACAGTTAGTTGATCAAGCAGCTGAAGTAAAATAAAAATTTTGTAATTAACCCATTGCAGAGATGCATACTATATTACTTCAATAGAAAATCTTAAGCTTATAATCTATTTTAGTTACACTTGGCTTAATGAGACTATGTTCATCCATGGCTATTTTAATAATATTAACCAAATAGCATTAATTGATGAGAAAAATGTATCCTTCAAAATAGCTATTAAATTTAATCTAAAGATATAAATATTCAGAAGGCAGTGTAAAATTTTAAATTTAAGTTTTTTAAGGAAAAGAAAAAATTCCATAGAATTTTTCTTCGCTCCTGCAGAAGAAAGGTTTGTGGTAGATTACCCTCAAAATCAATAGAGTTATTTAAAACTTATGCCAAATTAAGGTTGCTTTTTTGCCTAATTTTAAATTTGATTTAAATCGAAATCAAGCTGTTTCGCTACTTAACTTTCCACTTGATGTGTTTCTCTGTTGCTTAGCAATTTTGTAATTTGTTTAATCTTATTTGGCAAATTATCTTTTAACTGGTGATTTTAGCTTAAAATGTGTATTCTATAACAGTTTGATGATATTAACCACATTGTGGATCACAATGAGCCATGTATTTTCTATATTCATGTGTATATAAATAGGTGGGACTTTTGCAAATCGATAAAAATATCTGAATGATAATATTAACCGAGATTGCATTAAGTGGTACCTACTGTATAATTGGGTTTGAAAAGTCTGTAATTTTATTTAATATCAGTTCTGATATTTGTGTCATTAATCAACATGTACACACACATTTTTCTGCCATCTTAAAGTATACAAATTTATCTTAAGTAATTATTCCATTCAATGTATTACAGTTTATCTTCTATCTGTAATTCTTCTTAGCAGAATTTAATTTATATTAATGTATTGCAACAGCAGTAAATGAATTATATAGTTTTTATATATGTTGGATAGTTTCATTCTAATTAATTTCCAGCTCACAGTGTGTACTTGAAATTGGTAAGAATTTATTTATGTTTATCAGGTTGCAGTTCTGTCTTTATTGAGTGACTGGCATTGTGCCAGTATCTACGAAAAACGATTTCAATTTCATAGCTAAGTAAATCCCAGAAGTCTGTAGTTATAAAAGAAATACCATAAAAATTAAATGCAAGTATACACTACTTATAACAGCTTGCTGCAAATAGTATGGAAAAATGAATAAATGTTCTAAAGAAGGTTTTGAAAATATCTGCATATATTAATCACCACTAGATAGGTAAAAACATTTGGCAAGATTTCACATGAATGATTTGAGTGTAGTGTTGTGCCCCGAAAAAACTGGCATTAAAAATGCTGGTTTGTTATTTGGCAATGGAAAATCAGCTTCGGTGAGGCAATGGAAAATCAGCTAAGTATGGCCAAGTTTGATTTGAATATCCCTCTCTCTCTGTCTCTTTTTTTAAAGTAGTTTATGATTTTGATCGTGAACTCTTACTACAGCTTAATAGTTAAAATAAACTGTAAAGTTTTCTGTTAAACTCATTACAAATTTAATATTTTTACAGAAAAATTTTAATTGTTATTTTAATTAATTATTGTCACTAAAATAGTAAGAAATAAATATTAAAAATTTGATCTCCATAGAAATACTTGCATGAATCAAGACATCGGCATGCAATGAATCGAGTGAGGGGAGAAGGAGGCCGCTTCCATTCTGGCTCTTCTAAAGAAGAAATGCTTATGCATGCCAAGCTGTCCACCGACTCTCAGACAAATACAGATTCTGAAGGTCTGGGTAGCAATAATGGAATGTCAGATTTGTCTGGATTAGAAGTAAGTTCCTTACTAGAATATATAGATATTGTGTATGTAAAAACTTCAAGTCTCAAATGCTAATTTTAATTTATTTATTTTGTGAATTTCTAATTTGTGTGCCAAATAAAACTTAAGTTTATTGCACACCTATTTCTAAAAGAAAAAACTGTTCTTACTGGCCAAAGAATTTTAATCCATTGACCCTCTGGCTGATGATCATCCCGCGATTTCCACGGGCAACTCAAATTTAGCAAAATTTGCTCATCCCGTGATTTCCATGGGCATTTGTTTTTCTTCCTTTATTGAGGAGCGCATCCCGTTTTTTCCCCCATTTAACCACTGAAATGAATTATATGCAGTTGTAGACATTTAGTTTACACTTTGGCCAATACATATCATTAATTGTCCACTAAATTGTGGCATTTGAAGGCACGTAGTATTACCGCTCAAACTCCACTTTTTTCTTACAGAAATGGCTGCTAGAAAACATTCAGTGATTATTTTGATTTTTTAATTATTGACTTATTAATTAGATTTATTGATTAGATTAATAATTAGATTGATTATTAATAAGATTTATTGAATCTGGTGCAAAGACTGTGAAGTTGGACTTTGCCGTGAACCCTATTTTGAACTCTATCATACCAAACTGCATTTCTAAGGTATTTTTCCCTCAGCGCTTTATATTTAAATTTTATACTTTTTAAGAAAAAAAAAAAAAAAAAAAAAAAAAAAAAAAAAAAAAAAAAAAAAAAAAAAGAAAAAAAAAAAAAAAAAAAAAAAAAAAAAAAAAAAAAAAAAAAAGAAAAAAAATGAAATTAACTGTAATTCGACTGAAATTTATTTCAAAAAAAGATTTTTTTTTCTGATAACATCTGAAATTGTTTTTTCTGGTAACTTAGTTTCACGTGATAAAATATATATAAAAAATATTTTTAGAAAGAAAAGGTGCATTTTTCAATTCTCCAATATATATAGATTTAAAATATGGGGGGGGGGAAGGAAGCAATTTCGGTCCACAAATTGAGCAGTCAGAGGGTTAATGAATTAATAAAAATTCAGAAAATGGTCGTTTACCATCAATTTTTTATTCTTTATTCTAATTGAAAATGGCTGGAGATATATTCTGTTGTATTCATATTCGAAAGAAATTCTTGAAAAGTGCAAATATAATAAGAAACATTTCTAAGATCAGTATGATATGAAAAATTCTAAATACTATATTCTGTCTTTTAATTATAAATAATCGGATACGAAGATATCATGTCAGGTGAACAAAAATCTAATTATTCATTATGAATTTAATTATGACTGGATAGTCACAAAAATAATTAATTTTGTGTAAATGCACAGATATTTTTAGGGAGCCATCGTTTTGGCCATAAACTGTTATTCTTGCTGACATATATTCTATTTATTCGAGTTGTGTAGGTAAAAGAGGTTTGTTGTCTCAGCACCATTCAAATAAATTAAGCAAGACTGAGGATGTTGCCGAGCATTCTGTGCTAACATTTGCTTCATTGATCAGCTGTATTAATTAAATATGATCAATTAGTGTTTGTTATTAACAAAAAAAGGGTTTAACTTCATCTTCAAACTTATAAGCATGAGGTCTAAAACAATCATCATATGTAGTTTTCTCTTGCAAAACTTTTTAAATATAATTATTCAGATTAATGCTGTTTTGTATTGATATGCTAGCATCCTTATACTTACCAGTTATTACTTAAATACTTAAAATGATTTTTTTTAATCTTACCTATTTTGAAATTACTCTGAGATATTTACATTGCTGGCTACTGAAATTTCAGTAGCATGAACCAGATCCAAAGTTTCCATGATATGCACAACGTAGTAAAACTCTTATTCAATTATTACTTAAAAAAAAGATGTGAAAAGCATTCTTTTAATATTTCTACATGTAAAATAAGTGACATAATTAATCTGAAAGGAAAGAAATATCAAAGTTTATATCTGACTGGGAAAAAGGCAAAGAATGCATATCCAACAAAGATATGTACAGCTTTTATTAAATCTAAAGTCCCATCGCATGTTTTAAGGGAAAATTCAGCCCCCCCAAAGAACTATTGCAAAATCTTTAACCATTTGAGTCCCAAGCAACACGATCACGCTTTTGAGATTTTAATAAATTTTAATAAATTTAATTTTTTGGTCGAGAAAACCCAGTACATTTCGAACATTGTAGACAACTGACGGTGTGTTACCGATTGTTGAAGTCCCACGTTTAGATTTACTGAAGCAAGTACATCGCACAGCTCCTTTTAATGTAAATAGTACATTTTACAGTAGGTAGATTAATGCAGTACAAATTCTGTAATCTGGATGTCCATTATCCGAAATACTATAATCTGGACCTCAAAGCCACAATTTTTTTTATTTTTTTTTATTTTTTTGTTTTTGTTTTTTTTTGTATGCTTTACACATGCGCGTTTAATGATGCACCTTTAGCACAAAAAACGAAGCAACTGAAACAACTTCCATTGAAAGAAATGTTTAATAAAGTAAACAAATAAATATTAAGCTTTTCTTTTGTAAATTCGGATACCCTTTAGATCATAATTGCTCTTTATTTCATAAATTACGGTTTCATATTTTTAATTGTATAATTTCTCCAAGCCATCTTACTAGATTTAAATTGATGATCTGTAATCCGGAAAAACCCTTGATCCGAAATCGCTGATGAGTCCGGATTACGGACTTTGTACTGTACTATAAAAATGCAATAATACATTACAAAATGAAATTTTTTTTTTCATTATCTTCTCAATAATTTTTATCGAACAAAACTTAAAATATTTATAAATTTACAGTATGCATATGTAATAATACAGATGTATTTTATAAAATAGCAAATTACAAATTAACAATATTTTTGTGTTATGAACAAACAATTTAAATGGAATTGTTTGTTCATAACATAAATGAGAAAAGACAAGAATCGCGTTACCTAACAAATACAAGAAGTGCTATTGCTCCGATTGGGATTCATCGATGTAAAATAAACAAAGTGCTATCTCGTTGCTTGATATTTCTTGACATAAAATAAAACAAGCTGCTTGGTTCTTTTTGTACTCATTTAGACAAAGCACGGTTACGCTGTTTGGGATTCTTTGACAGTGTTTTTTCAAAACCCCTGTGAGACTCAAACAGTTAAATATCTCTGTAGGAATTGTGAACAAAATTATAAAATCTGATTTAAAGAAATTGTTTTCTAAGCTAATCAAAACAAAACAAAAAAAAAAATGATGTTCATTGACAGATGCCAAAACATGTTTCTCAGCGTAAGATTATGTGCAGATTGTTGTATGAAAATTATTTGGCAGGTGGAAAAACAAAAATGTATAGTTACAATTGGTGAGGCTTGGATATGCTTATTTGATTGCAGTAGTTAAGTTCCATCAGGATAAGACTCCCAGCCATACTTTTAAATCTACTGCTTTATTTTTCTAGGGGAAAAAAAAAAAAAAAAAAAAAATGAGAAATCTGAATTGAAGCTGTTCTTTTTAAATGAATCCCATCCTTGATGTGTGTCCTAGGGGTTATTGTGCATTTGCACTTTTAAAACAAGCTCTTTATAAGCAGCATCCCAAAACATTTGACGGATTCTGGAAGATTGTGAAGGAGGAGTGGAATAAAATCAATCTTGATGTTTTAAGTAAAGGACTTTTATCTTGGAAATCAAGATGTAATACAGTACAAAGTCCTCTTGATGTTTAAAGTAAAGGACTTTTATCTTGGAAATCAAGATGTAATACAGTACAAAATCCATGATCTGGACTTGTCGAGACTTTGGCGGTTCTGGATTAGGGGATTTTCTGGATTATAGATCATCAGTTTAAATCTGGTAAGATGGCATGCAGAAATTATACAATTAAAAATATGAAACCGTAATTTATGAAATAAAGAGCAATTATGATCTAAAGGGTATCAAAATTTACAAAAAAAAAAAGCTTAATATTTATTTGCTTACTTTATTAAACATTTCTTTCAATGTAAGTTGTTTTTTAAGTTGCTTCGTTTTTTGTGCTAATACTTTCTCTTTAATTCTCTCTTCTATAAACAGACATAATTTCTTGTTCAGTTACAAAGTTCCACTGTTCAAATCCTGTAATTGCTGTGTCGAGAATACCAACTAACTTGTCAATCAAAATATTTTTGTTTTCAATAACCTCTGTCACTTTCTTCACTATCGGAAGCGCGCATGTGTAAACGCTTTACTGGCTTTACGCGCATTCATAGCGGACGTGCGCATTAAACGCGTATGCGTAAGTTTGTGGCTTTGAGGTCCGGATTATAGATCATTCCGGATAATGAACGTTTGGATTACGGACTTGGTACTGTATTATAGTTCACCAAAAGGGCTATCAGATTGAACATATTAGAAAAAAGGGGGGAATCTGAAAAGTTTCATATTTTAAATTGTGTCCAAAGGGGCGTTTTTTAACATTTTGTGTGTTACCTTTATTTATTGAATATCATGTTCATTGCACTTAAACCATAATAGCAATGTTGCAAAATAATTTTAAATTGAGCATATCTTTAGAATTCCGATGCACAGTCTCGCACGCTGGAAATAAAAGTGTTTTTTCTGTACAACGTTGCCATTGCTCGTTTTGAAATCCTCGAGTTTGTTAATCAATAATTCATTACAGTTTTACAAAATATGAAATTGATAATGAAATAAATTCCAAATTTCAAATGTGGTCCCATATTCGCAGTAGGATTATGTCATTCAAAATTCGATGGCTCTATGTAATGTTGTTTTATCATAATGCGAGAAATATACACACATTTATGCAGATTTTTCATTATTTAATTTCTTCAAATATAATGTAGGACTGTAACATTTGGTGGCAACAGTTTGAAAAGTGAAACGGACATTTATAGTGATTCAACGAATAGCAAACGAAAAAACAATAGTCCCTTCAGGGACAAATCCCTTTTGACTAATAAATAAAATGTTAAGGTTTGTTTATATATAAATTTTTTCAAAATTGTTACAAAAATGTGTGAACAAATCTCTGTATTGATCTAATTAAAGTGAAGACAGGATCTAAATTAAAACACAGGCCTTAGTTTACTGACAGTGACCTAAGATAAATAAAGACGAAAAACTGTTTTGAATGCTTGTCTTAAAAGAAGCTGGATTTCCTAGGCAAATCACTGTTTGGGAATGTGAGCTTGAATTCATTTTATATTATTCTTTTTCTTGATTTTTATTGCTTTTAATTGGGGTATAATTTAACTGTGAATATGAGTTAAGCAAGAAAATTATTATTTTATTTATTTATATTTTTTATTTTTAGTGGAATTACAAGGGAACAGATGTTGTCAAAGTAGAAATTTGGGATGCTCCTGAAAATGGGAAAAAGAGCATGAAAGTTGATGGCAAAGTATGCTTTTTTTATTCTTTTTTAGAATAATGTCCTTCATTTTTAAAATTAATTTTAGATATTTATAACAAAAGATTAGTTTGAAACCTAAACATTTGAGAAATGTTACTTTATTTTAGAAATTATTTCGGACAGTAGGCACTGATGATTTTTTTTTAAATCAACAACAGTCATCTAATATAAAAAATTATTATTTTTTTTTGTATGTTTATGTATTGTTCATCAGTAGTATAACTAGTGGATGCAGCAGTCTTAACAAAAATATTATAGATATTATTGTGATAGAATATAATATTGTTGTCTTAATACAAAGACATCAGTTAAAAATTTCCCTCCTAAGTTTGGATGTTATAAGCAGTTTAAAATGCAATTGTATGGCAGAGAATTTTAAGTGATTTTAAAATTAGTAAGTTACTAAACTCTAAGTTTTCTTGATGAATTTGCTTGAAATTTGAAAGTCATCTTGTATTATAAGCATTAATGAGAAAATATTACAAAATTTTAATTTATTATTTCATGTTAAATTTTTTTCCATAACTCTTCATTTTTTAGCAACTATGTAAATAAATTGATAAATTTGGAATCGATGCAGTAAATTAAGTTGTATGTTTAAAAAAAATTAATACTAATGGGGGGGGAATTGTAATAAAATTAATTTTTTTCTCAGAAGTTTAACTTGAGCTCAGCTTTTTATAGATCAACAAACTAGTTTAGTTCTGTTTAAACATGAACTTTTCATGTCTTGTTGCCCTCTCTCTTTCTCTCATTTTGTTTTCACGTTTCCTTTTATGTGATTGTTAGAATGTTTTACTCTCATGTATATATGGATAGCAATTCTTAAAAATGAAGTACTCAATCAGAGAAAAAAACTGCAGATGGTGACTGTTATTGTATTCAATTTCAAATGAATCCAACCTGAAGTGCAGAAGGAAGAGAACAGATATGAGATTTCTTTCCTCTCCTACCTGCAAAAGGGATGCTATTTAAATTCCTGCTGACAAAAAGGGCAGACTTGACAAACTCTCAACATCCTTCAACAGAACTCTATGAACTAATGTTCATTCAGCTTGCAGTTTTAGTTTTTAGTATTCAATTCAACTTGTATTTATAATAGGCATAATAGCAAAGGACAATACAAGGTTGTGGAATTTGATGGCCTTTACTGGATAAGCATAATCCAGTAATGTAATGATGTAAAATGTAATGTAATGATAAAATGCTTGATCTTGGTCATCTGCGGCAGTAATATGGCAGCGTTTAGTGTCAATATTTCCTATATTATTGGTCAACATTTCACAAAAAATTACTTCTAGTCAAAGCCAGCACTAAGCATTTTGCCACTCGTGCAATCTCTGTGGGCTCTAAATTGTGCTTGCTTCTTGCATCCTTAAATTCTAAAAGTTTGTTCATTGGTGTTTTTCTAAATTCCAAAATTTTTGCTGTTCAAGTATTAGCCTAGTGCAAATGCATCAGCCCTGTTTTAATACATCTTCAGTGCATTGTTTAAGTCTGAAAAAAACTTTTATTGATCTTACTTCAACAACGTGTCAATGTAGAAGCTAAGACATAAACCAGGATAGGATCCAAAAGTGCTGATTTTTATTCTGCTACCAGGTTGATGCAAGAATTATGACTATTATTGATTATAGTAATTGGTTGACTGATTTCTATGAAGGAATCCAGAACTAAAGTGTTATTTCAAGTTAAACTATCTAACATGAAATGATGTAGTGTTGGCTTAATCTTAATGTTTTTCAACTAGTTAGATAATAATTCCAGTTGAGATCCATTGCAGGAAATATTATAATCATTTTTAACAGTGTATCCAGTTTACTGGAAGAAAAGTTAGCTACAGAGTAATTCATTTTTTGACTTGAAATAAAAACCAAACTAGCATTTGTTACAAATCTTTCCCAGTCCCTGAAATGTTACATTAATATATCATCTATTGATGATTGTAAAGTTGTTCATATTTAAAGTTGGCTACATGGTAATGAGCACCTGACACAGTAATGAGCTGTATATTTTGCAGATACTTTTTAGCTAGAGCAGAGCTGTATATGATTATTTTGAATTAATTTGCAGGAAACAAGTAACACAAAGGATCTGAATACATAAAATTGTTAAAATATTGTTAGTTTCTTCTCAGCTTCTAATTCCATGTGGGATGAAATTTTTCCCATTATTAAACCTGGTTCCCTTAATGTGGATTTGGAATTTTTTTCAAAACTCAAATGACAAAACGCTCTGAGCTATAATGTGTAAGGAGAAAAGTGCCTTAATGAATTTCTTACAGAAACTAGCTTATATTTATGTTACATATGGAGCAAGGTGAATTACTAATATTTCGTGGCTTTAACCATTTAATTGCTAGTTATCCATCGTTCCAAAATAGAATTCTACTTCTTTTGCCAACCCATTCGTAAGGCAATCTGTTATCTAAAGCAAGGATTGACAAATGTTTGCAAAGGACCAGATCATAAAAATTTTAGGCTCGATGGGCCAAAAAAGTTGAAAAAGAATTTTTTAAGGAAGTTATGTTTTTATGTAATATTTACATACATTTTGCTAACACTAAAAAAAAAAAAAGGATAAAATATTTCCATTTATTAATAAACATGTTATAGAATAAGTTAAATTTTGTACTAATGTGATGAATATAATTCCTCCCCCCCCCTTAGATAATATTTTATCATGCAAAAGTTTGAAGTTAGTATATCTTGCCATTAATTTTGTTGCAAATGGTCATCTGTTGATAATTATCGGTACTGCATCTTTACATCTTCATGTTAAAAATATCCTTTTGCATTGATAAGTACACCCAAATACGGATACAAATCCTCATACGTATAATTTTTAATTGGCCATATTTATCTTCTGAAAGATAAGTGTAGAACTTTAAAAGTAATCCATACTTATCTTTAAAAGTAAAAATAAGTATAGATCCATATCTTTACACATCATTTTGCAGATTAATCACTTCCAACTGAAGGTCTGATAGAAGCTCCTCAGTTATACAGTCAAATATATATTTTGAAATAAGGAAAAGTCTTTTTGTACTCGTAACAAGCTATGAAAAGTGCTTAAGAAAATAATTATGTAATTTAAGTTGAGATTAGAAAATTTATCTGCTTGTAAAGTTTTTGATGAATGGGGATTTCACTAATTGAACATTTTTTAAAGTAAGTAAAAATGATCAATATTGTTTAGTGATTTCTAAATTGTGCTAGTTTGCTATGTAACAAATGCTAGTTTGGTTTTTATTTCATGTCAAAAAATGAATTACTCTGTGGCTAACTATTCTTCCAGTAAACTGGATACACTGTTAAAAATGATTATAATATTTCCTGCAATGGATCTCAACTGGAATTATTATCAAACTAATTGAAAAACATTAAGATTAAGCCGACACTACATCATTTCATGTTAGATAGTTTAACTTGAAACAACACTTTAGTTCTTGATTCCTTCATAGAACATCAGTCAACCAATTACTATAATATCAAATAATAGTCATAATTTCTTGCATCAATCTAGTAGCTCAGAATAAAAATCAGCACTGTTTGGATCACTATCCTGGTTCTATGTCTTAGCTTCTACATTCAACACATTGTTGAAAGTAAGATCAATAAAAGTGTTTTTTCAGACTTAAACAATGCAAATGCACTGAAGATGTATTAAAACAGGGCTGATGCAGTTGCACTAGGCTAGAATTTAGAAACAGCAAAAATTTTGGAATTTAGAAAAACACCAATGAACAAACTTTTAGAATTTAAGCATGCAAGAAGCAAGCACAATTTAGAGCCCACAGAGATTGCACGAGTGGCAAAATGCTTAGTGCTGGCCTTGACTAGAAGTAATTTTTTGTGAATGTACAATAATATAGGAAAATGACACTAAACGCTGCCATATTACTGCCGCAGATGACCACATTTCATCATTACATTACATTTTGTATGCTTATCCAGTAAAGGTGATCAAATTCCACTACCTTGTATTGTTCTTTGCTATTATGCCTATTATAAATAAAAGTTGAATTGGATACTAAAACCTAAAACTGCAAGTTGAAAACTACATTAGTTCATATAGTTCTGTTGAAGGATGTTGAGAGTTTGCAATCAAATGGTTCAAGTCTGCCCTTTTTGTCAGCAGGAATTTAAATAGCATCCCTTTTGCAGGTAGGAGAGGAAAGAAATCTCATATCTGTTCTCTTCCTTCTGCACTTCTATTGTTTCAAACAATGTAAATTTTCATAATATGACTTTACATACATTGTTTGCTTTAACATGTGAGCAATGTTTCCCCATGTAATTTTAAATTAATTGAAATATCCCACAATATCTATATTCAGCTTCAAACTCTAATAAAAACTTAGAAAATTGAGGATGGTAAAGTTTGTGAGAGCGAATAAAATTAAATGCTGACACAGCTGGTTTGGTAACATATGACAATGGCAGATCAAAATACAACCATTATCTCTAGGCACATTTCTTTGGCTACCTCAGGCAAACATATTTTAATTAATTTGCCATAAGTATATAATTTTCCTTTCATAGTTAATAAGTAACCTATTTATTTGTAAGCTGACTTTAGTTATTGCTTCATTGTAATTTTTTAATTGTATGAATATATTGCAGTGTCATGAAACACTTCATTTTAAACTTTCCAATTTAATGATAGTTCACATTTTATAAATTTCAAAAATTGCCTCGAATACAGAGTTTGGTAATGATGACATAGATTGCACTCTTTTTACATAGCAATTATATCACAACATAGTAAACAAAATACTTTATTGGCACTCTTTTTGTATAGCTATTTTATCACTGCATAATAAACAAAATAATTTATTGTGTAATTCAATGACCAAATAATTCACACTCCGTTCTGCTTTAAAAGCATAAAATTTAGAGTTAACTTTTCTCTTTTTATCTGATCTCGAGAGTGACATGGCAGTGGTGAGTAATAAATAAAATATCACAGACAGCTGATATTCAGCAAATGCCAAATAAAGCGACAGACAATAATACCATGTAGACTGTGCAGAAAAAAAAAAAAGACTTTTCTAGATCTCTCATTCTACTTGGCCAATTGTCAAAATTAAACTTTCATTTTTCATGTCTCCAAAACACGACTTAGGATATGTATTAGATTTATATATGGCATTGTTTAAAAATAAGTATTTTGACACAAAATTAGACGTGTTTTTGAAATGAGGTGCCAATTTTTTTCTGCATTTCGATTTTATGACTCAAATTATGTCAAATTGCCAAGTTTTGTAAAAGTCACATGAGTACTTTTTGAAAAATTAGTTCTCAAAAGTTTAGCTCCTCAATGTTAACCCTTTGCGGCACCTAAAAATTGAATGAAAAAGTATTTATAGGTTACTCTGAACCTTCTTTATTTTTAGTAGATGGCAGCTACACATAAACCAGTCCATACATTTTAGCTATGTTTAGTTTTTTAAAACCCTCATTTTTCAAAGAAATCTTCCAGATTTTTTTAGGGTATAAAAGGAATTGTTGAAAGAAATTTCTATGTTGTTTTTGGCTGTATGCTAACTCCTTATTCATATTAGTTTTAAATTTTCACCTGAATCTTGCCTAAAATCAAACAGTGTGCCCAACTGGGCTCACGATATCTAGGACAACTGAAGTCTGTATTCTTCTGTTCTCCGCTCTCATTGGTCAGTAATTGAGGTGAATGCTCATTTCAGCACTCTTTTGAGCTCTATTCAATCAGGGACCCACTTTGGCACATCTACAGAATTAAATTAGTCTATCTTCCAATTTTCTTGTGTATATCATAGTTAGACTACTTTTTTTTTTGAATCAAAACCCAATTTTAAAGGTAGCGTGCCGGAAGGGTTAATTGAATGTGATACATATTAATTAATATCTTTTTTAATTAAACTTATTTGATTCTTCCATTCTTATTTCGAAATTCAGGTTCATTGCAAATAAAATTTGTCCATTTATTATTATTTATTTTTTAAATTTGTATTTTTAAATACTTTTTAATTGTAACCTATGAAAGTTTTACCATCATCTTCTTAAAGCACATGTATTTGCGCACCAAAATTTCCAAAAATCTACGTGAATTTATATATTGGCGTATTTGTTGAAAGCGATGAGATCAAATGTGGTTTAGGCACTTGGTTCAAATTATTTAAAAGTAAGAACGATGTGACTTTTTTCCCCGCTCATGCACAATGTAAAGAGGTAAGAACGATGTGACTTTTTTCCCCACCCCTGCACAATGGAAATGAAAATAGGTTGCCATATATTAGGAAGTTTGCGAACTGAAGCATTTTTGGTACAAACTGAAAAAAATACACCAAGATAAATGTTTGAATTTTAGTCATAATTTGAGTCATAGAATCAAAATATGGAAAAGAAAGTATGTTATTTCAGAAAAAGTCCGATTTTGTGTCAAAATACCTATGTTAGAACAATGCTATACATAAATCTAATATATATCCTAAGCCGCGCTTTCAAGGCATGAAAAATGCAATTTGAATTTTGTCAATCAGCACATAGAACTTTTTTTTTTTTTTTTTTTTTTTTGCGCACAGTGTGCATCGACAAAGCAAAACAGAGAAAACTGACAATGCTTGTTCTACGATAATGGCAGACAACAAAATGTGGATATGCTAACAGTGCTAAGATAACTATTATTTGTAACTTCTTTATTTAACTTGATCAACTTGAAATTTGGTTATGCAAAAAACAATATTAAGCCATGGTCTAAATCATTGATTAAAATTAAATAAATAAGATATTTTGAAATAACTTTGTTAGATAGTAAAGAAATGTGGTATGTGGCTTCTGTGAAAGGAGTGTGGATTCCAGAAACCTTTGTTATTAGTCCTCATGAATCAGAATTTACTAAAACATGAGTCGCTGAACTCTGGTAGCTCGCTCCATGTTTGAACGTGCTCGCTGCACGGGCATTTTCGTGGTTTCCCTACATATAATGCAGATTCCTTTTAAAAAAAAGTCCTCCATGAAGGTATCCTATACCTTTTGGCAGAAAGCCCTTGTTTGCTTTACCACAATCCTACTAAAACTGGAGCTTTTGCAGATAAATGCCACTTCACGAGACGGAATCCGGTTGCTGAAACTCCGAAAGAACCTAATCTAACAGTTGATGGGAGGAGAAAGAGAAGAGATGCACTGCTTGGATTCTCCGCAACAAAGTGAATTGATTGTGCATGAAAGCTCCAACTCCTAAATTTTTAATGTGGTGCGATTAGTTACTTTCATCTATAAGATTTCACTCTCTTGCATTATATATTGCTATATGGAAATATTGCCATTTGTCTTAGAATTTAAATAACTTGTAAATAAATCAGGGCAAAAACAAAAATATGGCTCAGTGTCTAAAATTTCCCACAAACTCTCTACTAGAGTCTTAATGCTGAAAGTTTTATCCATGGCTATTTCTTGTGAAATGAGTGGCTCAGAAGAACTTTTTCTAAGAGTAATGCAAATACTTACATAAAATAAGTCAGAAATGTTTAACAGTTACTATAATAGGTTTATACGTCAGTTCTGCAAATAACAGAATTTCTGTGCGGATTGTAAAAATACCTCAAACCTACTTAAAGTATTGCATGCCTCCCCACCATATAACAAAACTTCCTTAATCTATAGTTTGATCCAATGTTTGTAATCATTTTTCCTTTAAAAATTTCACCTACATAATAACCCAATGCTTGTTTTAAGTGGTGCATATTTAATACAAATAGTTCATTACTGAATTAAGAGTAGAAAGGTAATTAGTTATATAAACTCATATTTATTTTGAATTAAAAGTATATTTGTGTTTTCAGTGCAAATTTTGAAAAGGTCTATATTTACAGAAAACTACTTTTACATTGCTTCTAATGCTGTATATTGCTCGATATGTTCGCAGAATTTTTGAATGCTTTTGTAAGAAACCATTTCTGGGAATGTTTTCATTGTCTTGTCATGCTTTTTAACATTTTTGATATGTCAAATTGTCCTTTATTGTAAGATTTTTTAGTTAAGAGATTAGAAAATATCTACTAAATTCCAAATCTGATGACCAGGTTGGTTACTATTTGCTTTCCTTTTTCCAATGAATTCTTTCCAGATGTCAGGTTTTTTTCCTTCTTTAATGTTGTATTTTAAATAAAAATTCACCGATGATGTTTTTCTTCTGAGGCTTCTGAAAATAAAATTTCTCCCCCCATTCATGCACATGGTTATTGGTTTAAGTAAAATGTTTCATCATTTCTGATAATTTGGTTAAAAAATTCCAAATTACTACCAGCCTTTTCAATTAAATCATTATTTTTTCTTTTCCCGGCCTTTTCATCACCAACAGCAGTTATCAGCTGCATGTATTTAAATAAAAAAATTTTTACAGGGAAACAATATTTCAAACAAAAGAAAGTTACTGAATTCGTAATAATCATTGCTATTAATATTATGCGACAGGTGTTTTTTTTATCTTGAAAATAGTTTGTTATAGTATAACTTCTGTAAGAGTATTTTTTCACTTAAATATGAAATAAATGCAGTTCTTAAATTATGTATCAAGTTTCAAACAATTTTATTTTATGAATGTGTGAATTATCTAAGTAATAAAAGTAATAATAAAGAAATATCTAAGTAATAAAAGTACAGTTTTGTTCTTTGGTTTCTTGCAGAATGGACGCATAATAACAGCCAATCTTTTGCCTGAAGAATCAAACTGAAGCTGGTCACCAAAACAAAGTGTTCTGAAAATCAGAGCAGCATTTTAAAATCTTTGTAAGAACTGTGATTTTAGCTAGAATATGGTAAATTTCTGTCAATGCCATATTCACCATCTCTGCATGATGTGTGCATTTTTTATTGCACAGGAAAGCAATATATATCTTAATTACTTGAAGTAACAACACTTGAGAGTTGGCTATTTTAGGACATATATATACTTTCAAGTGTGAAAAAGTACAAAACTACTTATAAATATTCTAAAGGTCTATGCAAAATAACTACAGAATAACCTTTCGAATCAGCTGGTTTCAATTGAAAGTCTGTGAAAGGTTTATCTAAAATGCTCATAAGGATATGATGTGATATATACATACTATGTACAGCTTCCATGTCAGCACTGTCATATCTGTGGATATTTATGAACAAACTGCGCTTTAAGAAGTAACCAATTGTGTTGGAACATTTTATACATCTGAATTTCTATTTATAATACAATTTATTTGAAGTCTTTTATTCAAAGAAGAAATATCATGACACTTTATCTGAAGACGTTTATAAATAAACAGAACATTTCCTGGATAAGCTGTTTTCATATATTTTAAATGGTTTTCTCAGTTGTTGTCAATTTAATAAAGTTGTTTTGTCCATAGCAGACTTGTGAAAGTTCATATATGTGCCACATTAATGTTTAAAGATTGCTTCTATATGAAAACATGCTTCAGGTACTTCAGTAATTATTTCTCATTTACAATAAATAATCTTTATGTAAAAAATTAGTTAATTCTATTTGATTTCAATTTGTATTCTTTTTGCTAGCTTGTTTTTTCTTTACCTAAATTATTCTTATCCTAAAAAGAATATTTCAGTTTCTATAATAAATTAATCTCTTTAAAAAAATTTAATGACATTTAATAAAATGAAATTGAATTAGAAGAATGACAGTGTTGCAGTGCTCTCTAATGAAACTTTTATTTTTATACTTTTAAATGTATATACAGTACAATCAACTAAAATTTTATGTCCATTAAAAGTCAGTTTTGAAAAGGAGTGCAGTTTATCTCTTCTTAGCACAACTTAACCCCTGAAAATACCAATTTTATTATGCAGTTTAATTTAATTCATTATTCTGACAACATTGTTCTTGAAACTTATGGACAGTATTCCGGAAGTTATAGTTGTTTTACTGCTTTTGCTCAAACAGGTTTGTATTTTATATTACAGTACAAAGTCTGTAATCTAAACGTCCATTATCCGGAATGATCTCTAATCCGCAACTCAAAGCTACAAACTTTTTTTTGGTACGTTTGATGCGCGTTTAATGTATAACGGACAGTATAAGCTAGGCTAAAATTATCTTTACTGATTCTAAGGCATTTCAGTTAATGTAGCAGATTGCGCTGTTCCTTAATCTTCTAATTGAATCCAGCGTATTATTTTTTGCAGACTGTTAGAGCAATTTTATAAAAGTAAGCTTGAACTTTCGATTATGTCAAATAGAATTTCCGATGCTGGAGCTGCCAAAGGATCTACAAAGCGAAACCATGTTTCGATGTCCATCAAACAAAAAGTGGAATTGCTGCAAAAAATGAATAAAGGCATATCCGTCTCAAAATTATGCGAGGTCTGACATTGAAAGTCAACTGTACATGACATAAGCAAAAAGAAAAAGGAACTTTTTGAATTTTTTGTGGATTCCAAAACCCCACTTGCAATGAATAACAGAAAAAGGGTTCGATATGCTAAAAGTGACGATCATGACAAAGTGATGATTGAATGGGTCAAACAGCGTCGCAGCGAGGGCGTTCCATTGACGAGTCCAATGCTAATGTCTCAAGCCAAAATATTTCATGAAGAAATGAACTTGAACACCGAGTGCACACATTTGACAGGTTGGTTAGCCAAATTTAAAAGTCGCCATGGTCAATTAAAAATTTCAGGTAAAAAAGCTTCAGCTGATACTGAACAATTTGCAGATGAATTCATTGAACTCTACTAGTGAACAATTATCTCCAGAACAAATTTACAACACTCATCAAATTGGTCTTTTCTGGCAATGTGTACCACAAAATACCTTGGCAACCTCTACAGAAAAGGTTCCAACTGGCGTCGAAGATTCCAAAGCGAGACCAACAATTTTAGCATGCGCAAATGCTACAGGAACACACAAGTGCAAACGTTTCGTAATCGGAAAACATGCACAACCTCGAGCATTTAAAAGAGTAACGATTTTCCCAGTTATATATCACGCAAATAAAAGAGCATGGATGACACAAGTGTTAATGAATGATTGGTTTGAAAATGACTTTATACCCGAGTCTCGACGACATTTGAATTCGGTTGGTTTACCTGATGACTCAAAAATAGCCCTGATTGTTGACAACTGTTTGGCGCATACTTCACTTAAAGCCAATTTCTCTTAAATATTTTTTTAAAAGGACTGGTATTTTAGTGGTACATAAAATTAAAGAATAACTCAGAGAAGTAGGTATTATTTGAAGTGTAAGAGCATTCTGTATTTTTATATAAATCCTAATAGATACATAGATTGCTATTTACATATCAGAATTCAATGTTAAAAACCTATAATGGTAATATTTATGTAGTTACAAGAACAAATCATATCTTCATTATTCTGAGCAGGAACAATGTTGTATGTGAATAACTAGAAACTGATATACGAACATTGTAATAGACATCTAGATAGGCTAATTACTGTATTACAAGAACTTGTTTTTATCTTACTTAGCATTATAATAAAATAAAAATATAAGAGAAAAAATGACAGTTTACTTATCTTTATACTGCTAGATATAAGAAAACTTACATAATACATATAAAGATTTAAATTATTAAGAGGGCATTTCACCATCTTTCATTTATAAACATTAATAAAATCTATTAATCAGTTTTAATTAGGAATGTTAAGTTAAAAGATCTTATACAACTATGGCCAAAAAATAAACACCTTTTTACTTTTCTGCCACTTTAATGTCTTAAAATGCACTGGGGATAAAATACTGTAATAGAAACACTTTTAAGAGAAATAACACGTGCACCATTTTAAAATTATGATTTATAATGTCTTTTTCTGTTCAGATCTGAAATTTCTGTCCAAATAATTGTTTTTCTGATGTTAATTATACAGAGATATGGGTAAAGAGAAACATTCCATTAGTATGGAGTTACAAACTATTTTAATGATGCAAATCAATGGATAAATTAATAATCAGAAGAATTGCTAAATCAGTTGGATGTTTTCCTAAGAAGGTTTCACAGCAATACATACCAAGGGAAAAAGGTGTACCTAAGCATATAAATAGACCTAAAATAACTTTGAAGGGGAAGAAAATGCCCTTCTGAAAACAGAAACCATTTTTGTTTGACAAAGAGCTTTAGGGTGAAACTTGATTAAGGTGGTTTTGGTAACTTTAAGGTGACTTCATGTAACTGACAGAACAATGCGACACACACTGGTGAATGAAAAGGTCTGTTCTTGAAGTCTAAGGAATCAAAAATGTCTCATGTCTGCATTCATTTGAAAATTACTTTTCTTTCAAGGTAGAAACTAATCTTCATAAGGATATGGACCTTTATGAAAGTTTTTACCTTTTGGAACAGCACTTGACCTGCATAAGGATATGGGCACCATTACGAAGACAATCCGCTACTGGTAGCACATCGCATCATTTAGCCAATGCATTTGCGAGATTTTGCTTTAGACTTCTTAGGAAAGATCAAAATATACTAAAATGATATTGGGACATAACCTAGTCTGAACCTGTTGCAGAATTTTATCCAAACAAATTAATAGCTATGTATACCGTATGCTTTTATCTTGGTACAGAGCATGATTTTTTGGTATATAGAAATAAGTTTCAATTTAATGTTGAAAACAATATAAAGTACTTTTCAACACTGCAAAAAGATGCTCGTTTTCAATTAGAAATCTATTCTTTTTGCTACAACAGGCATTGTAACTAATCCATAGATTGGTAGCAATCTCTAAAGATAAACAAAGAGCTTTTATTTCTTATCTTTTGTATAAAAAAGTACACTGCTCATCAGTATATCAGAATTCACCATTCAGAATGTCACTTTATCTGTATTTTTCAATGTTTTAAAATAGCAGCATTTTATACCATGAGCACCATAAATACAATACATTTTTAATGTTATAAGAATTAATAGACAAAATTTTCTCACTAGCATACACTACCCTTTTCTTTCTTCTTAGAATGCTTTTGAAAAACGGGATGCATCTTAAAAGACAGCAAATATGGTATATAGTAACATGGGAAATAAGTATTCAGTACTCCTATGGGGAAGTACAGGATATCTATAATTAAAACCCTATTTCAAAACTGCTTACAAGCGAAACCAGTGATTAAAAAATTATTAAATTTTGTGACGGACTTTACGAAGGAGTGAAAATTTCTTTTGGCAAAAAACAAATTAGTTATGAATAGCATCACCAGAGGACATTATCTTGATAAATTATACATTTAGCAGCACCTTTATAAGTTTTACAATTTTACAAGTTTTTTTTACAAAAAAACATGTTCCACATGATAGCCATTATTTTTACCTGCCATCTGAAATTGTAAGATGGCATGTTCCACAATTAACCAAAGCATGTGCTGGGAAAAAATTTTCAGCATTTTGCCTGAAAAGCTAGCTTTATTATCAGGTATACCAAACGTTCCAAGTGTCCTCAAAGCCAAAATTGTAAGGATTGAGGTCTGGGGATCGGGAAGGCCACACATTACAAAAGTGCCGGCCAATATGTAAAATGACATTCAAGGATATTCGCAACACACTGTGCAATGCGTAGAGAAGCTCCATCTTGCATAAAGATTGTAAGTGCAAGGCACTGATGTGCTTTCTGAATTTCATTCTCTAACAGCTATGTACGAGAGTTGAAACTTTAATAGTGGCAACACAGCTGAAAAAACGCTATGCAACAAAACCAAAGAATATCGCATATACCGCACGTGAACTACATACCTACCTTACCTCTCAGCAAAAAGACTCGTCCTGCCTACGTCACGCCCATACGGAGTGACGCGAAGAACGGGTCCTTGTATTAGCTCGCGGTCTAAAGTAAGTGCTGTCAGGATGTTTTCAAAACAAGAACAACGATGTTGGATAAAAATTGAATGTGCCAGAGGTCAACAGCACGACAGTGTCATCAAGGGCTTCAAGGCTGCAGGAATCTGCATTGCCTTACAGAACCGTAGCAGAGGGTGAAAGCATTCAATGAAGGACGCCAAAGTGGCAGACGTGCAAGCTGTTGCCGCACTAATTGACAGTGATCGCCGCCAAACGATTCGTCAGCTGGCCAGACAAACCATTAGCGCATACGACTGTTGTGCTGTACATTCTGAAGGAACACCTGTCCATGAGAAAAATTGCTTCCGCTGGGTTCCACATCAGTTGGCGGAAATCAGAATCTACGATACGATGCTGCCTGAACCCTTGGAGCGCCATGAGTGCGAAGTGATGCTTTTTTACGCCGTATCATTACGTGGATAAGATTGGGCCCGTCATACCCGCCAGAACTGAAACGCCAATCAAACGAATGGGCAATCCACGACGCTCAAAATTTCGTCAGAACCTCAGCAATGTGAAAGTTATGGTGATTCTTGTGTACGACTGTGATGGTGTCATCCTAACGTATACCGTTCCCCGACAGCAGACCGTCACTGCACAGTATTACTGCTGATTTTTGGAGCACAATCTCCGACCAGCTTTGAGAAAAAAACGGCGATACTTTCTGCAGAACGCTCCTCTCATTTTGCACGACAATGCTCGGACGCATGCAGCGCAAGCTGTGACTGATTTGTTCAAGCGATGGGGCTGGGAAGTGCTTTACCATCCACCATACTCCCCAGATCTAAGCCCTTGTGACTATGACTTAATTCCTAAGATGAAGGAACCACTTCGCTGCACTCGCTTCCAAACTGTTCCCGAGATTCTTGCGGTCCATTCAAACTTTCAACAAAACAGGCGTTGCTACAGGTATTCTGCGACTTCCACATCATTGGAAA